TTCTGTGGAAAATCTACTTGGCTAATGATCCATATATGTTACGCTTTGAGTGTTGCCATTATTGACACCGCTGAGATGAGTCTGTCTGTGCTGCACCCTCTCCAGTACTTTTCTGGACCAGGTCACACGGCAGGCAATGGGTGAGCAGGCAGTGCAGCTGGCAAAAGCTGTGCAGTACTCCTCTGCTGGCACTGTGGAATTCCTGGTGGACTCTAAGAAGAACTTCTATTTCCTGGAGATGAACACGCGACTGCAGGTGTGTGTGTGTGTGTGTGTGTTCGTATATCCACGTGAGGACCATGGCAGTGAGTAATTTTGGCTGGTCCTCACTTCTGACACAGTTTCAAAGGGCTGTTGGACAGTTAAGACACGACTTTGGGGTTCTGGCAGAGTGAAGTTTCGTAAGGGTTAGCAGTTGTGCTCTCAGTTATGACAAACAAAGCCAAGGGACTAGAGAATGTCGTATGCTATTGTATAAAGGTTAGTTTAAAAGTTCAAAAGGGCTTTTTGTAATTTAAACCACATACAGCTGTACAGTACACAATGAAGTGAGACAGCGTTTCCCAGATCCAGAGCTAAGGTGACAGAGGTCCTGTGTTTGTTCTCTCTGCTGGTGTCTCTGGATCTGGAGCTACACATCTCTGATCTGCAGTTTCTGGTCTCACCGACCTTCAAAATGTTCATTGATGTGTTTGTATTGTTTGTCTGTTCTCCATCTACTATCCCCACCCCAACTCCGCCTGCTTTGACCCCAGGTGGAGCATCCGATTACAGAGTGCATTACTGGCCTGGACCTAGTGCAGCAGATGATCAGGGTTGCCAAGGGTTACCAACTGCAGCACAAACAGGAAGATATCCCAATAAATGGCTGGGCCATTGAGAGCCGCGTCTACGCCGAGGTGTGTGTGCTGCTCCTTAGCAAAAACATTTATTTCATGCTTTGTCTTTGCCACAAAAACATGGCCAGTAGCAGCGAGTGTGTAAGAGTACTTAGAACTTTTCTGAAAACAAAACTTTTCCCTCATTTTGCCACATTTTAAAAGTTTACGTCACATTTACTTTACCTTTGATGGAAACACCTAGGGACGGTTTATACCTCAGGAACGTGAGGGTGGTGTTTTTTGGGGGGCTTTTTGTAAGCATTTGAACATTTGCTGATATAAGATTGTACTTATACTACTTCTGTTTATGAAACTTGATGTTTCATTGTTTTCCATTCATCCATCTGTTTCTCTGTTGTGTTTTCTGTCAGGATCCCTACAAGTCTTTTGGGCTTCCCTCCATTGGACGGCTGTGTCAATACCAAGAGCCACTTAACCTCAGCAACGTGAGTTTGTGTATGCAGGTCATGACTCTTAAAGCTTCTTCACTAGGCAAGATGACATTGTTACATACAACAATGTCATCAGCTGACCTAACAAATGAAAGATGCAACAGAGAAAAGCATTTAATTCATTTAGGTTAACAATATGATAATTTTGTAGTTTTCCTTTTTTTCTAATTTTGTTCTCCTCATACACAATCCACTTACTGTCAAACTGACTGGCTCGTGTCTTGCCAGTATAAACATTGTGCTCCTCACTCTCTCAGGTCCGTGTAGACAGTGGCATCCAGGAAGGAAGTGACATCAGCATCTACTATGATCCTATGATCTCTAAGGTCAGTGATGTATTAAATACAGGATGGTTTTGTAAATGATGTGTTTCCTATTCTGAGGTGCACATGGGAACAATAAGAAGTTAGATTACCCAATGACTGTTGCACAAGAATTTGTAGGTTTTCAGCTTTTCTCTCTGGTATCTATTTGTAGTTGGTTACCTATGGGGCTACGCGAGGTGAAGCCCTTGCCAGAATGGAGGATGCTCTAGATAACTATGTGATTAGAGGTACACCATCAGACTTTCATAGCGAACATCAGCTAAGACACACAGTCAATTTTTCAGAAGGTTTTCTATCTATAAAGCATCATCTTCTTTCCAGGTGTTACCCACAACATTCCCCTGCTCCGGGAAATCATCACCCATCCTCGCTTTATCTCTGGTGACATCAGCACAAACTTCTTGCCTGAGGTTTACCCTGATGGCTTCAAGGGCCATCAGCTGGAGGTGGACACGCGCAGGGAGCTTTTGGCCTCTGCAGCAGTGCTTCACATCACTGCTCAGCTCCGTTCACAGACAGTCCTGGGCACCCTGAGGTGAACATGCTAGAAAGCTTTACATTGCTGGGGCAACAGGGGTCAACTTGTAGCTCTAATTAATTAGCCCCTTCAGAGAAAATCAGATTTTTCCTATATAATTAC